TTAAAAAATGACTCAAGGGGCAATTTATAGCCCTTTTTACCTTTAACATATTCACTACCTTGGAGTTTGTTGAACACATTCAGTTGCTCTTTCCTTCTTTTGAAACTCTTGCCTTATTCAAATAACTTAACTAAAGAATCTAAGATATTATCAATATAAAGAGAAAAAAATATATATTTATTTCTTACAACATTTGGAAACACATCAAAAAGAACAAATATTCCAGTGGAAGTCAAGTTATTCAGTAAAACTCTTTTCTTTTTTTTTTTCTTTTTTTGAGAGAGAGAGAGAGAGAGAGAGAGAGAGAGTGTGTGTGTCTGTGTGTGTGTGTGTGTGTGTGTGTGTAACAGCTAATTTTTCATATATCTTAATTTTCCAAAGAACAGTATTGTAAATAAAAAGATTAATACATTCCTAGAAGGAACCAATATTTTGATTACACAGCTCAAGAGGCAAATGATTATTGAAACAAAGCTTCAAAGATAGTTATAGTTATGTTTCGGTTATCTGGCTTTTCAAATATCAAATACAGGCACATTACATTTAACTTACCAAATAACAATTAAATCCCGAGAAAGAAAATTTCCAGAATACCAAAACAAAATGTATACAGTAACAACCAAGATTCTGTTAAAAATGAAGGAAAAATCCTCCACCTTTGCGTAATATTAAACCACAGAGCATTCTTAAAATTTTAAACTATATTGATAAAAGCAAATTCACTTATTTAGCTATGTCTGCATATTAAAATATGTTGGTTATAAGAAATATACAGATAATAGAATTTTATCAGTATTAGTCCAGATTTATAAATCATTTTCCACAGCACCTAAATTCCTTATAGCAAATAGCTAAATTAGGCATATACATTTCAAATAAGAATCTCAATCTATTAGGTTTTTCTAACTGATATATAGATTTTGAGTATACAATATCCTTAGATTATTTCTATAAATTGGTATAATTTAATTGTAGCTTCAGAAAAAGGATGTTCAACAGATGTATTTCTAAGGCATTAAAAAAGCTCAATACAACCAATTCAAATTAGATATTGTGCTGTGCCCTATCTAAAAACTCCCTAAGGAATTACAGATTTTATACTTGTGCACTGAGAGTGCATTTCCTAATTCAGACAAGTAACTAGTTATGACAAACCCAAACCTGAAGAAAGTTTTACATCACCTTTTCTGAGAGATAGAACTCCACAATACCAGCACTTTTATTTAGGTTAACAATAACCGTAACTTGAAGGGTCCAAACAGCCGGATTAACTCAATGGTTTAAAATAATTGAAAGTATTACTTTTCCTTCACTTTTACAGAAATTGAATTTATTGACATTAGTATCTGGTTTGTCAAAGAGGCAACTATTCAAGATCTAAAAGACTCATTTATTTTAAACACATAGACTAATTCTGACTACTTATAGTCAATGTTCCTGTCTTGAGCTAAAATACAATAAAAATGTAAAATAAATTTCAAAGGTCTTACAAGTATTAATAACATTCTAAAATATCTGGACAGAAGACTATTTTGGGGATTAAGTAAGTTTCTCTTCTGCATTGATAGTTTAATCACTTTCCAATCAATTTTGATTTAACAGTGGTTCAAGGGAACAATTTTTAATGAGTTCTTATAAAGTTGTAATTGCTTCCAAAATCAGAAGCCACAAGATGATGTACTCAAACATTAGACGGATGTAATGCTGTTATGGAGGTATTTACAGAAAGGTGCAGATAAGAGCTCAGTTGTGAACACAAGTTAACATTCAATAGACTCCAAAATAATAATTTGTTTGTACAGTATGGCAAGAAAAAATATTCTCAATAGGAAGTATAAATATCTAGCCCTATTTTTAATCCATTTCTATAAATCATAAAAACAAAGGAAAATAGGCATTTATTCTAGACACTCCTTATACCTGTGGAAAACAGAACACAAGTAATTTTTATTCAAGATTAACCTTAATCCCAAATAGAATACAGCTAATAATTTACATATTTAAAATTTTGAAAATATTGTAGAAATCTAAACCATTTAAAGTGACAGTAGTTTGTGCTCAGTAAACCTTTTCTGTTAAATAACACAAGTAAATTAACTTAAGATGCAAACTGATAGGTATGAGTATTCAAAAGTCTTGTAATTTCAAAGGCATAGAGTTACTGCACATGTATAGGATGGGTTTTAAAAATGGGTATTCGTAAACTTTTCCATGGTGTTGGTGTATGTGCTTTTTTTTCCTCCCCCTTAAAGAAATGCTCACTGCTTGCAGTGTTAAAGAATCTCCATCATTCTGTCTAGTTTTCAACCAGAAGTCCTCGTTGTACCTTAAGCCAAATTGAATATTAGGTATTTTACAGCTTTTTACAAAATGGCTGTAAAATCACATTATGGGCATACACAGCTCTTTGATCTCACTGCACAGAATTCATAACTGTTCAATAATGCTATACCATTACACCACACACCTTAAACTATTTCCATTTTTCCACAATTCCTTCCAAAATCAGCTTCCAAAGCAAAGCAACATAACATGAAAAGTTCCTGGGAGGGCTTGTTACACAAAAGAACAATTTGGAAACAAATTAATCTACACAATATCCATCTTCTGTTGAGCTTGTTTATCCCTCCTTTCCCTCTATCACTCCTTAAGGTGGACGCACTTGAGTAATGGAAAGAAGGTTCTTCCATCACCATACACCCTCCCAGCACCTCTGCTTTTGGTCCTCAGACAGTGATTCTGTGTAGGTGATGAAAATCATAGGAAAAGAGAAGCTGTCCCTTTAAAATGCCCTGCTCTGTCCCATATCCCACGTGGAACCAACATCAGCAGCACTTTCCCATTAGCTTCAATGTGATGCAAGAGGCACCATGCTTTTATATACATAAACCAGAAAACATCAGCTTAACATTCTTTACTGAGGATGAACAGGTGAAGCAAATGTGTCAAGAAGGGAGAGCCAAGCAACTCCCTACCCCTCCCCAAAAGGTGCTCCAGTCTCGCACTCCAGTCTCTCAGTGCAACATCACCTCTCTACCCCTCCTGTGTAGAGCCTAGTTTAAATAAAGGAGGGAGCCACTAACAAAACCTGAAGTATAAATGCGACGAAAATGCAATCTAAAGCCGGAAAGGTTTATTCTTCCAATCACACATATTAACTCTATTAAGAAAAATGGCATCACTTTTTTTTCCCACCAACCCCCCCCAAACCGCAAAGATCATTAAAACAGAGTTATAAAATAGCAAATATAGTGTTTATCTTATCTTAGATCAGTCCACATTACCAGTAAGTTTAGCAGTTTCTGCACTACCACCTCCCCCCTTCCTCCCCCTCCTTCTCTTGCATCGGATTTTCACGTTTTCTCATTGTCGGTTGAGTTATAAAAGGCTTTTGCCCTTCGAAAGTTTTAAAAAATAAATAAATATTAACTCCTTGGTCCCTGCAAAGTCAAAATGGACTTCAGGGGAAAGGCGGTTCATACTTTTACCTTTAGCAAAAAAAGGGGGAGCATCCCGGATTTTTAGGGATTTTTTGCGATTTTTTAAAAATTTTTATTTGGTTATATGCCTGAGTTCTCCCTCCATTTTGGTTGTTTATGATACTGACAACAAGCTGTCCCTGCTCTGTGCAGATCTCCTGCTTTCATTTAGCACCCCCTCCCCCTACCCCCCCCTCGCAGCCACACATCCAGGGTTCACACCTCCCCGAAGACCCCGCACCGGGACCCCGACTCGCCCACCTGAGGAAAGGGCAAAAACAAATTCATTTCTCCAAAAAAGAAAAACCTCTTTTGAAAGAGGGGCAAAGTTACCCCAAGTCACTCAAAGTGCCCCCCAAATATTGCCGACTGCGGGTTTCCGCCAGGCCCTTTGGGAAGCGACCTTCCCCCGGGATGTTTTGGTGGAAAATGCGGAGAGTTTACTCTCAAAACTGAATTTATATTAATTTTTCCCTTATTTTTCGGGTCTCTAATGTCTTCCGCTCTCGCTGCTGCCGCTGCCGCTGTCACAATATTCACAGCACCAGAGAGGAGGAGGAGGAGGAGGAGGAAAACTTTTCAAACTTTCCAGACCCTGAATAAAGGTTTTTTTTTTTTTTTTTTCTTTTTTTTTTCCCACCGACTTCACCTTTGGGTCTCCAGCCGCATCGCCCCCTGCCCTGTCAGAAGCTACTTCGGGAGTCCTCACACCCTCAATTATTTATTTTATTTTATTTTTTATTATTATTTTTCTCTCTGGGGTCCTGAGCAGGGGCTGAGAGTAGCACAAACTTTTCCTCCTCCTGCCGCCGCCGCTGCTCCTCTGCCCCCTCGGCTAGTCCCATAATTTAAATAACCCTGATATTTCTCCCGCTAAACGCCTTTCCGCCGCCCCGGACCCCGGGAGAACTCACCGCGGGGCTTTAACATCCTCCCTCCGGCCCGTCCGCCGCCTTTACACCGCCCGCGGAATTTCTAATAATTTTTTTCTCATATTTCGGGCTGGACGCGGCGGGCCTGGAAATTGTTTCCTTACGCCTCTTTCCAGCAGCCATTGTAGTGTATGCGCTGCCCCTGCAGCCCAACTTGCAGCTGCCGCCGCCGCCGCCGCCGCCGCCGACGTCGCGCCCACCGCCGCCTCCCCGGGCCTGCTCGGCCACCGCCCCCGCCTCCCGCCGGCCCGCCCCTGGTACCCGCCCGCCGCTGCACCCGCCCCTCCCCGCGCGCACTCCGCCCTAGGTCTGGCCACTAGACGCCACCGCCGCCAGGAACCGGCCCGTCGACTGGCGGGTGGAGACGCCGATCAATCAGAAGTGTTAAGAGGCGGGCCGCGGTGAGGGGGGCGCGGCGGGGCGGGGGAGGGCGGGGCCGCGCGCACCGCACCGCCCATTCCTCCCGCCTCAGCCCTCCTCCCGCCAGCTGGGGGTGGGGCGAGATCCTCCCGCCCCCGCCGTGCAGGGCCTCGTTCGGCTGTCAGTCTGGAGGCGGCGCGCGACGATTGGGCCGGCGGCCGCCGGGGAGCGGGGGCAGCATGTTGGGATGCGCGCTATTTAAGGTCCTGCTGCGTGAGCTATTGACGTGTTTGGAGCTGGAGACTGTTCGGTCCCTGGTGGAGCGGCTCCCCGAGGTGAGTGGTCCCGCAACCCTTGTTCCGTGACGGCTGCAGGGATGGGGGCATAGAGGGCTGCATCGAGCCGCCATGGGGCCCAAATACGTTTCCGCGCAAAGCCGCTTCCACCAGGCCTCACCACAGCGCGGGCACCTACCCCACGCTGCTCCCCGCGATACGAGACTGTTCGGGCTGGGGACGAGGAAAGTGACCCGTGCCCAGGCAACCACAACTGTTTCTTCAGCCTCCTTCCCAGCCTTTAAAGCGTAATTGCCTGCACCTACACCCAGGTTCCTGCGTTTTTCTCGCCCCCTGCCCCTCTGGGAACCGTTGAAGGTCGAAGCAAGGTGTGTTCACCTGTGCCCGCCGTCCAGGGTTAGATAGGCAGCATCGCGGAAGGCAGCGAGGTCTCATCAGACTTCCGTCTCTCCAGTTACTCCATTCGATTTCCCCGCCTCCCTCCGGTGTGCCACCCTGACTTCCTGACCCTGTCTCTCTGCACCCAGCAGTGGGTGAAGGGGTTTAGGTTCTCATATGACATTTATCACCTTCCCGATAGTTGCACCTGCATTTTGTCAGAACCACAGAGCCTGCGGACTTAGACGTAAGGCCCCTTACCGCTTCCCTTTCAAAGCTACTTGGAGAGTGGGGATGTGATGGGAAATCAAATACTTTTTAAAGCAGTTTGCTCTTTAGAGAAAATTTTAGAGTTGTTCCTTAAATGTGCTTTGAGACCCCTCCTTCAACTCTTTGGTTTTCTTTCTGGCAAGTAGAGCTTTGTACCTTTTGTTTAGTACCCTCAGAAAAGGAAGTAGATGAGGCCTCTCTAGTGGAACACTCGATCTTGCCCTTCAGCCTTGCTTCTCACTGTAAATTGACATTTCCAATTTACACAGGAGGAATTTATGCAAAGAAAGTGACATTCAGAATCCAAACTTAGATTGACTTGTATTTAGAATTCGTAGGGGAAAGGAAATGCAATGTTAATAAGCTCATGCTGCAAACCTAATTCAGGTATATGTAATGTTATCTAGGTGTTATTTTTAAAGAACTCCTGACTAATGATAATAATAAAATGCAGAGTAGGACACTTTCACGTAAGGCATGCAACCTGAGTTTTGTCTGTGTCTGATTGTTGTGATTATATTCAAGGAATATGACCAGCTAAGCAGAGTTCTGTGTTCTCACATAGTAAGATAGATATGAAAAGCAAGGCTGTACATTTACCATCATATCTCTGGAAGATCAAGCCTGGAAAAGAATTGTGTTCAATAGAGGAAGATGCTTCTAGATTTACTTGAACAGCATCTTGAATATCCCTTTGCCAAGTTGTTTCTGTTAGCTAGGTATACTCATGTATTGTTCAATGAAAATTGTAAAATAAAAGAATTACATAGTGGGTACGAAAAGTTAAAGGACTCCAGAATGACTAAACTTTTCTCCATCCTTCTTACAAAAGTTAGTCTCTTTTAGCCTGGACAACCTCATAATAGAAGAAATCAAACTAGGTGACATTTGATTGCGAATACCTCCACTTTTCAGGAGCCTGTGGGGTTTGATTATTTTTCCTGAATATACTTTATTTTATTTTAACATGACATATTGGGCAAGTAAAGTAGAAACTATTTCATACAAAAATTCTCACCTCTGTGTGGTTACGCTGACATTTTTTCTGTGGAGTTCTGTAGGTCATGCTACATTGTTTGCTGTCTTCTCCTTCCATCTTTAAGTGGAAGATGATTAAGTTAGAACAGGTTTAGGGAATATAAATAAAAACAGCTCTTTAAACTCAGAGCAGAGCATTTAAAAATATTTGTGGGTAACTCATCCATGGTATACAATATATTGAACAAAAATATCACTTTGAAATATTTGTTAACTGTTGTTTTTTTGAAAATTTTTTTCTTTTCATTCCTGTGACATCTCTGAAGATAATAGGCATACTAATTCCAGTTGAACTCCATTAAAGAGAGCAATTGTCTTGGGATACAGTTGATATACTTATTATATGACTATATGACTTGACTTGTAATAACTGATTGGCTCTTTGGCTCTTAGGCTCTTAGTTTCAAGTGTACAACATTCGACATTTTGCTATATGATGTGATCACAGCAATAAATCTTAATATAACCATGTGTCACTGTAGGGTATTATTGACTGTATTCCCTGTGCTGTACATTATCACCTTTAATCAATAAAGACTTCTGTAGGCTATATCTGTAAGGCTTGAGTTGAAAGATTAATGAAAGACAGTAGCACTTCTTCAATCCAGAAGAATCAATTAAATAGAAGATGATACTTATTAAAAATTTTTCAAAATGTCAACTAAGTAGTAAGTTTGTTTTTTGGTATATTGGCCACAGAATAGGCATTCATGTTCTTTAGTTAACAAATGTTTTTCCTAAAGTTGAGAGTGCATACAGTATTCTTAGGTTTTGTTAGTATAATTAATTGCTTAACCTTTAGAAATAAGCATAAACTAAAACTGAATTATAGCTGAACCATCTTTCTTTTTGGACATTATAATCAAATTTCAGTAGATGCATTATTTTATTTCTTATAATATGTTGTTGTTGATTTCAGAAAGAGGAAGGGAGAGGTAGAGAGAGAGAAACATCAGTGTGAGAGAGAAACATTAATTGTCTGCCTACTGCATATGCCCAACTGGGGACTGAGCCTGAAACCTAGGCATGTGCCCTGACCAGGAATGGAACCAGCAACCTCCTGGGATATGGATGATGCTCATCCAACTGAGCCACACCAGCTGGGTTCAGTGGATGCATTTAAATATGGCCTTTGTGTGGAGGCACCATGGCAATGCAAAGGAACAATATATCCGAGTCCTTATTTTCAAAATACAGAGGTTGCAGGAAGTTCCTCACTAGGTAATCATTATGCTAAAATCAATTTTCAAGTACTTATGGGGCTAATGAGATTTATTGATTTATTTTATGTCATCCACCGTATAGCTCTTTTCCCCTACATCTGCTATCCTCAGTAAGAAGACTGTTAGGATGCCAATGGTAGCCCGGAGACTGAGAGATCCTGACATAAATCCCTGCTTGTTGGTAAGGTGGTTGGCTTTTAATTTTCATGAGTGTTAAGTTGGGAAAACAGGCCTCTTCTGATTTTGTGGGCATCTGTTTTCTGCAGTTCTTTGTTTCTCAGTTTATTTGCTTTTTAATTTTAATGGGATTTAAAAAGTATATTTCCTGCCCAGAAATCCAGCAAATATTCACTTAGATCTCTTTTTTAAACTCTTTTCATTTATTATATTTAATTAATTTAGTTATTTTTTATTAAAGTATAATTGACATGTATTAGTTTCATGTGTACATTTGACTTTATATACCTTATGATGTGATCACCACAATAAGTCTAATATAACCATGTGTCACTGTAAGGTATTACGACTATATTCCCTGTGTTGTACATTACATCCCTGTCAGTCATTTATTTTGTAACTGGAAGTTTTACCTTCACCATTTTCACTCACCCTCCCAGCCGCGTTCCTTCTGGCAACCATCAGTTTGTTCTCTGTATCTACCAATCTGTTTCTGTTTTCTGCCATTCTTTTTAAAGTTATTTCTGTACAAAAAAATGTTTGTAACCAACGTATCCTTATTTTACTGGAGCATTTTTTAGATATGCATAATTTAGGTAACAAAGATTTGTCTCTTTTACGTTTTCCTTATGTATATATTATGCAAACATTTAGTTGTCACTATAATGTTAAATATGCATATGTAACACTGAAAAAAGTTTAAACATGGAAAGTATGATATTTTTAAATTGTCACTGAAATTTATGGTTTAATGGCAATAATTTCATCATGTCCTTGAAACCACTTGGCTGAGAATAAGGGACTAATATAGAATTAGTCTATTTAAAGTCTAAAGGTTTTCACAAAGGTATATAAACAAAATGTTTTGTTGAATAATAAGCTTTATTGACATTTATTTGGTATAACTAGCATTACTTCTGGCTTTGTCACCCTTGAATAATGTAATCATCATTCTGATGGTATGAAAATGATATTCCCTGATCCTATATGGATTTTTCAAATATACACATTCATTAATTATTTGGCATATAAATTTAGATTGTTCTGTATATTAGATGTTTTCAGCTGCTTTATTAAGTCTCTTTGGATAGAATATGTTTCTTAGATCTATGAAGCAACTTACCTATCCATTTAGTTAAAGCTTTCCTTTAGGTGGTGACCTCTCAGAATCATACCTTTTACGTTGAAGTTTGTTATCCAGTCTATTTCCCAAATTGAAGCTACCATCCTTTGAACTCATAGCCTTGTGTTTCTCACTTTGATTTTTGAAGTGATCTTAATGATATCTATTAAAATTGCTTACACAATAGTGTATTTACTTGCATAATGAAGTGAACGATAGCCAAAAATACATTGAGATGGTGTTAATTTAAGTTACCTTGATGTAGACCCATTGTTAGCAATTTACTTAGGATGTGAAAACTAGCATTAACATCAAACATTCAAGTCAAAGTGAGAACTTGAAAGAGCAGGAGAACTGTACTCTTGAGTCAGGAGACAATTTTGATTCTAGTTGTGCAGCAGTGATTTTGAGCACATTGCACCTTGCCTCAGCTTCTTTGTTAAATGGTTACTGGGTTAAATGATCTTAGTCATTGTTTCAGCTCAACTTCCTGTGATTAGATATTCAAAAAAACTGACCCGGACTATGAAAAGGAAGATGTCTGCCCTGAGCAGAATGAATGCTCGGGATAGTTGGAAAGATAAAACGGACAAAAAGCAACTATTTCATATTAGCTGCTTTGTGGGGAAAGCAACTTCAGAAGTTTTTTGGTTTTTTTTTAGATCCCATTCCACCTCTTAAATGATGCCTATCTTACATATTTAAGGAATCTGATGCTTCTGCCAGATGTATGGATGAAAATAACTATGACAGGGAAAGGTGTTCTAATTACTTCTTGAAGTACAAAAACTGCCGGAAATTCTGGGTAAGTCTAGCTTGGTTAGATGAGATAGTCCAACTCATCTCTTAGGCTTGGAACTGACGCCTGGAATGAATCGGAACTAACAGTCCTTTCTTTGGGATGGCTGTAGGTAAGACTTAACTTTTCAACTTTGTCCTCAGTGTGTTATTTTAGCCCTAAACAATCCTGAGAGCTCTTCTTAGTTGCCTCATCCTACTCCAGGGTATAAGGATGCAGTTCTAATATAGGTGGGTCTTTCTAGGTACCGTCGGCCTCATTTATCACGGTTAATCAGTTCCAGTCTGTACCGCGATCAATTTCCACGAAGTAGGATTCTCTATATACGTCCTCCCTCGCCACTTCCCGGCCACTTCCCGCTTCGAGACTGGCGGCTTCACACTCTCGCGGGTTTTCAGATGTAGTATAGTATTGGAAAAAACCGTGAGAGAGTGAAGCCACGAAAGTCAAAGCGCGAAGTGGCGAGGGACGACTGTATATAAGTATCTGCAGCCCTAAAAGAATAACTTTGTTATAATTTTATTTCTCTTGGAAATAACCATATGCCCTGCCATATCACGTATTACACTTCCATTTCTGCATCCTCCTCTCCCTCCGCCACCCAGGATAGTTTAAATGGTCCCATTTTTCTTGAGACATTGGTATATAATTTCTGTTTCTCTGAGCACTGGATCCAACTACTTCATTTCTCTCTGCTAAATGAACTGATGGTTTCATTGATGGACTGTACTTTGTGCTCTTGTAGTTAAACAGCATATCCCCATCCCAATTGCTAACATATTCCTGTGGGAATAGTCACTTCTGTTTCATTGTTAATTCTTTAAAAACTTAATCTGAAGTTCTACAATTTGTTTGGGGTTTTTTTTATACTTGGTTTTCATAATTTCCTTTTTGAGGAAGCAATGGCAAATTACAAGAAAATGATTAGCATTTACTATATGACTGATTTTGGTTTCTTCTCTTTTTTTATACCTACATACAGAATTCCATCATGATTCACAGAAGACAGAATGGAGTGAAGCCACCTATGCCAACAGCAGCAGAAAGAGATGAAATCTTGGGAGCAATGGGAAAGATGCCCTATTGAATGTTTACATTAAAATTGATTAACTTAAAAGGAGATAAATATTTTTAATAAATGACTACTGTAATCTTTTAAGATTGTACAAACCTAATCTGGACAGATCTTATATTTTACAAGGGGAGACAAAATTAAGTGAACCCTGCGTCCGTCCTTTGTGTTTGTTCTCAGTGCTGTGATGATCGTGTGCCACTGCGGACATGCGTGTCAGAGCCTACAGCACTTCCTAGTGTTACGCGAGTGTTAGGAAAGGCTACATAAGGAGCTGGGCTTTTTCTCTGGGTTTCAAAAAAAAAAAAGTAAAGGATGAAAAAGTAAAGACTTAATGGGGGTGAGAGGAAGGCAGTATTTAATGTGAGCAACAACATGGAAGGAAAGTTCGAGACATTCAGAGTTGTCTGTTGAGTCTTCCACCTAGAGTTTAAGGTGGGTGGAGGAGTAATGGCAGAGAAGACTGAAGTTGAGGGTGGATGTGTGGTGGACCACAGATCCAAGGCTCATTACTAAGATCTGTATCCTTCACTCACTTATCTTTGTTTCAGTTAGGTCAGTACGTTCACTAGGCAGGAAGGTGCCTTAAGTAAATGGCATGAAAAAGAACTGGTTTCCTTTAAAGAAAGGCATGGTTAAAGGATTCTGTGACTAAAATCCATAAATATTGAATAATTTTCTGAAGGCATAGTGTTCTTGAACTATGGGCATAGGAAACAAAGTGATTCTCAGAAGTAGGAAGAGATGGGCAGTGAAGGGTATGGAGTTCATCAGGTGAAGCAACTCTGGGATGAAACTAGAGCTCAACTTCACTTTATGACATAAAAATAATGTTCAGTACAGTAATGGGTGGATTGTATAGAAGCTCTCATGCCCACCTTAAAATCCAGTTTGTTTCATTTAAAGAATAGTTTTATAAAAGACATGTAATAATAGAGAAATCAACAAAAATACATGGTTTGTGTCCCTTTTCTTCATGTGGACCATGATCTAGAGCAGTGGTTCTCAACCTGGGGGTTGCGACCTTTTGGGGGTCGAACGACCCTTTCACAGGGGTTGCCTAAGACCATCGGAAAACACATATTTCTGATGGCAGTTCATAACAGGAGCAAAATTACAGTTATGAAGTAGCAATGAAAATAATTTTATGGTTGGGGGTCACCACAACATGAGGAACTGTATAAAAGGGTCACGGCATTAGGAATGTTGAGAACCACTGTCTAGAGTATAATTTTAATGACTGCTGACAAACTATCCATCTCATTGGTCTTAGTCCAAAACTCAGCTCAGATGCTTTTAAGCCATAGGACCTTGATTGGTAAATGTGATTCTATTTGAATAAAAAGTGATTTCATTTTGAGTAAAATTCTATTTGAATTTCTAGATTGTTTCAGAAATTCTTGGATTTGTAGTGCTTGTTCTAAAAATAGTGGATTACATTAGGACATGACAAAAAATTAATACATACTTGTGTGAGAAGCATTTCAGTACTTCTAGGCATACTTAAGAGTTTGGAATTTTAATATCACTTCTTTAAATGTACATGTCAATATTAACATTCATCCTATAGCTATTTGTCCTGGCATAGGTTTTTTTTTTTTTTTTTAAAAACATGAAATCATTTAATATGTTTTTATTGATTTTTTTTTTTAAGAGAGATAGAAATATTGATGTGAGAGAGAGACGTTGATTAGCTGCCACCTACACCCCACCTCAAGATCAAGCCCACAACCTGGGCATGTGCCCTCACCGAAAATTGAACTGGAACCTCTCAATCCACTGAGCCACACTGGCCAGGCACATAGCTCTTTTTAAATAGCAACTACATTGTAATATAATTCATATATCAAATCACCTATATTAAAGTGATTTTTAATATATTGACAATATTGTGCAGCCTTCACCACAATGGGTTTAAAACACATGTATCACCTTAGAAGAAAAACATGTACCCATTAGCACACATTCTTCATTTCCTCCTAACACCACCTTTCCTCCCCCCCTTCCCAAAACTTAGGCAATTATTTATCTACTTTCTTTTTTTTTTTTTTTTTTTATCCTCACCTGAGGATATTTTTCCATTTTTTGTACAGATAGAGTGGGAGGGAGAGAGAGGAAGAGAGAGAGAGAGAGAAACATCGATGTGAAGGGACACATCGAGTGGCTGCCACCCGCACGACCAACCAGGGCCGGGGACAAACTGCAACCGAAGTACATGCCCTTAGCGGGAACTGAACCCGGGTCTCTCCGGACCGCAGGCCGATGCTCTAACCGCTGAGCCAAACCGGCCAGGGCTTATCTACTTTCTTTATAATTGCCTGTCCTGGACACATGTAAGTGGAATCATATAATACATGGTCTTTTGTGACTGGCTTCTTTCCCTTAGCCTCATGTTTTCAAGGTTCGTTCATGTCACATGCATCAGTACTTTATTCTTGTTTATTACTGAGTAACATTCCATTTCATGGATATACCACATTTTACTTATTGATTCATTGGTTGATGGATATTTGAGTTGTTTCCACTGTTTGACTAAATATGGGTCATGCTGTGAAACATTTGTGTACAAGTTTTTGTGTGGGCATTTGTTTCTTTTTAGATATGCGCCTGTGAGTCAAGTGGTAACTACATTTAACCTTTTGAAGAACTGACGAAGTCTTTTCCAAAGTGGCAGCACCATTTTACAATGTAGGAGAGTTCCAGTTTCTCAACGTCCTCCAACACTTATTGGTCTTTGATTACAACTATTCTAATGGGGGTGAACTGGTATCTTATTGTGGTTTTGATTTGCATTTCTCTGATGGCTAATGATGTTGAGCATCTTTTCATGTGCATATTGGCCACATATATATTCTTTGGAGAAATGTTCATTCAGATGTTTTACACACACACACACACACACACACACACACATTTTTTTTAGTTCTCACCTGAGGATATTTTTTCCACTGATTTCTACATAGAATGGAAAGAAGAGAGAAACATCAATGTGGGAGAAACACATGGATTGGTTGCCTCCTGAACAGCCCCAACCAGGGGCAGGGATCAAACCTGCAACCCCTCAGTCCGCAGGCTGACGCTGTAACCACTGAGCCAAACGGACCAGGGCTTCTTTGCCCAGTTTTAAATTGGGTTGTGTATCTTCATTATGGAGTTGAAGGAGTTCCTTATGTATACTAGATACAAGTCTTTATCAGATACATGATTTGCAGCCCCCCTCCCCCTTTCTGTGAGCTGTATCTTCACTTTATGGTGTCCTTTGAAATACAAAGACTTTTAATTTTGATGAAGTCCCATTTATTTTTTTCTTTTGTTGCTTTTGGTGTCACATCTAAGAAAGCATTGCCTAGTTCAAGGTTACAAAGATTTACACATTTTTTTTCCTAAGAGTTTTGTGGTTTTTGGCTTTTATATTTAGGTCTTTGATCCATTTTGAATTAATTTTTGTATATGGTATGAAGTAGGAGTCCAACTTCAGTCATTTGTATGTGACTATCCAGTTGTCCCAGCACCTTTTGTTGAGAACACTGCTTACCTCCCCCCTTTTTTTTATCCTCACCCGACATTTTTCCATTTTTTGTTCAGATGGAGTGGAAGACAGTGAGAGAGGGAGAAACAGCGATGTGAAAGGGACACATCGTGTGGTTGTCACCCGCACGACCCAACCAAGGCCAGGGACAAACTGCAACCGAGGTACGTGCCCTTAGCGGGAACCGAACCCACGTCTCTCTGGACCGCAGGCCAACACTCTAACCGCTGAGCCAAACCGGCCAGGGCCGCTTTCCCTTCTTGTTGGAAATCAATTGATTGTATTTGTGAGAGTTTATTTCTGGACTTTCAGTTCTATTCCATTGATATGTCTATCCTTATGCCAGCACCACACTGTCTTGATTACTGTAGCCAGCACCACACTGTCTTGATTACTATTGCATTTGTAGTAATGCAAAGCTCTCTGATGATTGGTTTCTATAAATGTGTTTTCTGTAAAGTGTTTTTAATGACTAATTGTTTGGGTATTTTTGATCAGCAAACCCTTACTATATAATCATAATATAGCTCCACCCAGGAAAATTTAAAGTAGTCTACAGTAATTCCCTAACTCCTTGTTTACATCTTTACACATACTGATAAGTTCAGTATACCCTTCCTGGAACCAGGTTGTTCAATACTTCGTTTCATCACTTTAGGGGAGCAGGGGGAGACAGAGTCCCAGGGGTTTTCCTTGTTACCACTGTTAAATTTGCCACTATTACATTTCTCCTTTTGAGATTCTACTTTGGGGGAGGTAAAGCTAATTAACCTGATAATTGTGTCAGGACATTAGTGAATGTCGTGAAATATTTGGAGTTAGGCAAGCCTTTGATATTAACTATCAACTAACAAAACAGAAAGTGTTTTACTGTGTCCACGTACATTTCACTGTTGTAGAAAGCACCCCATCGATTCTCCATGGGATGGGGAGTGTGGCACACTGTGGACTATGCAACAGCAATCCTTTTGAGAATCACTGTATCCATTTGAAAGCTGGAGGGTATAAACAATATCATTCATGGTTATATCCATAATCTCTGGTATGCTTTTAATGTTCAACAAATGTGTATGTTTTGGGGGAGGGATGGCTTTTAAAATTGCACACATTGAGAAACATGTAGGTTCAAACAGTGTAAAAGGGTATACGATGTAAATAAATCTGGCCAAAAGCCTTCAGTGTTGAATTTTCCAGGTTTTCTATGCATATACAATCATATCTATATATTTATTTGCTGATTTTACACAAAAAGATCATCATAGTGCATGAGCAGCAGGTACCTTGCTTTTTTCACTTAGTGGTATACTTGGGAATAATTCTTCATCAATGATTGTAGATTGATTGCATTTTTTCAATAGCTACAATTCCCCATTGCTTAGATATGATATCATTGAACAGTCTCCCCCTGATTGGTTTGCTATTAGAAACAAAATTGCCACAAGGATCCTTGTATATGGCTCATTGTTCCTGTTTTTATTCATAAGATAAATTTCTAAGAGGGCAGTTTTTAGGATCAAGGTTTCAGCATTTGAAGTTTTATAGACTTTGAAAAATCACCCCCATGCCTCCATTTGGAGCACACAAATGTTTACTCCCATCAGCAAAACCTGTAAGTGTGTCTTTTCACACTCAGTCCCACTGGGGTACTTTAAAACTCTCATCCTTACAATTAATGAGTGAAAAAAGGAATGGGTGTTTTTATTTTCTTTGCTTATTCTTTTTAAAAATATTTTTTCTTGCCCTGGTCGGTTTGGCTCAGCAGTTAGAGCGTCGGCCTGTGGTCCGGAGAGACCCGGGTTGGGTTCCCGCTAAGGGCACGTACTTCGGTTGCAGTTTGTCCCCGGCCCTGATTGGTCGTGCGGGTGGCAGCCACTCGATGTGTCCCTTTCACATCGATGTTTCTCTCTCTCTATCTCTTCCTCTCTCTCCCTCCCACTCTATCTGTACAAAAAATGGAAAAATGTCCTCGGGTGAGGATTAAAAAAATATATATTTTTTTTTTCTTTATTGATTTTACAGAGAGGAAATAAGAGGGAGAGAGAGATAGAAACATCAATGAAAGAGAACATCGATTGGCCACTTCCTACATGCACCCCACTGGGGACTGGGCCCACAACCTGGGCATGTGTCTTACCGGGAAACTAACCAGTGACCTCTTGGTGCATGGGTCAGCACTAAACTACTGAGCCACACCTGCCCGGCTTCCTTCCTTCCCTCCTTCCTTCCCTCCTTCCTTCCCTCCTTCCTTCCCTCCTTCCTTCCTTCCTTCCTTCCCTCCTTCCTTCCTTCCTTCCTTCCTTCCTTCCTTCCTTCCTTCCTTCCTTCCTTCCTTCCTTCCTTCCTTCCTTCCTTCCTTCCTTCCCCTCCCTCCCTCCCTCCTCCACTGCTCCCCCCTCCCCCTCCTCCCCTCCCCTCCCCTCCCCTCCCCTCCCCTCCCCTCCCCTCCCCTCCCCTCCCCTCCCCTCCCCTCCCCTTTCTTTAAAGAATGTTGGTGGAGCCCTGGCCAATTTGGCTCAGCA